CAGACTACATAGGTTACATCATTTGTGAGGAATCTCCTCTCATCCGTCTCCAAATGAATAACAACAAACATTCAAAAAATAATTGAAGTTTTATATATATCCCTTGGCCATTCAGGTGGTATGGCTGGCACGAGACATAGGCACTTTAAACAGCTGTTGTGAATCTTAAGTATAAACTTCCACCCTTTGGCACAGCACCAGGAAATTCTGCATAGGAATATACCTGCTCTGCCTCACAGCAGACACAACCTATGGTACCTATGGTGTTTAATACCTTGAGAGCGGACAGCAGAGAAAAGCTGTTTTCCCCGGGGACATCCCTGCTCTGACCCTTTTCCCTCTGTTGGATGAGCATGACTGAGCGGGGCTCAGGGGAATGGACAGACCCACACACACAGACCTCCTATCTATCCACAGATACTTGTGTTCTAGAGTAATCCATTGGCCTATAAAAGTCCAACTACCACTATACACACACATTTTCACCTATTCCAACCTTATTTCTCAAAGGAAGGCATGGTAACACAGCGTGCTGTGGGAGCCAGAGTAACCCATATTTTCTGTTACCCAACCTGTCCCAATTGCTCAGTCAGATCTTCCTTGGTGGACAAACTCTCCTGAACAATATAAACACCATCTTCTCCAGCTGGAGTCTAAAATCATGGCTGAACTCCGGTTCCACTGCTTTTGTGAAAGTACAGAGACACCAAATTGAGCAGAGAATCAACCACGAGGCACATGGTGCAGATCACCATTCCTATGTCCTGTCAAGCCTTGCTCCAAGAGCTGGTCTAGGCTGATTGTTTGCCTAAGCCAGACCTAACTTCCACCTTGCCATGTTTCCATGAGCAGGTAAATAAGCTGCTGCACAGACCAAGGCAGTGCAGCAGGCAGGGCCGGCCTGGGCTCAGGCCTCACACTGTTTTTAGGGTCCTCTCCAAGCTCTGACCCGCTCCAACATCCACCCACAGACACACAGGGCTCACAGGCATGAGGGCATCTGGCCTGTTTAGACTACGGCCTTAACCCCAAAACCCAGGGACACAGAAATTGGGTCTTCTTGTCACTTAACTACTAGGGCAGTACCCCTTCCCAAAACTTCATTATTTTTGACCTGACTGCTTCCTTCTCCCCACGTCCCACCTCATGACATTTATTGGAGGATGGATCAGCCATGCTCCCAAAAGCTGTTATAATTACAACTGCACAGATATCACACATGCTGATGTGTAAGACATGCAGCTGAAGGGATCAGTTCCTATCACAGGTAGGCTACACCTGGGCAGGTACAGAAGGGAAGGACTAAATCTGCAAACATGCTTCTGAAAGAGGCTACTGCACTGCTTCCACGTCTGTGAAAAGCTCATCCAAACTGTCCGTGTGACCTGGCACCAGGGGAGTGATCCTGAGCTAGAGACTGCAAGAATGGCACAAGGAAACAAGTACAGATTTCCCATGCCTGTGCTCTTAAGGGACTGTTGCCAAAAGCCAGCTGCTGGCCAAGAGGGGAAGATCAGACTCTGTTGGGCACTCCAGGTCAGAGCCTACCATGGCACTTGCATTTGCATCAACAAGGCAGACACAGAACAGAACAACTCAGCTGCTAAGCAGGAAAGACCACACCAGCTTCGGGGCTCCAGCTGCAGGGATGTGAACTCAGCCACCCACTGACAGCTCTGTGGCAGGGGGTAGGAAGACCAGGACAGCTTGGCAGGGGGCTGGAAGGCACCTTGCACAGGGACCAGGACACTCTTCATCCTCTTGGCCAGTGGTAAATTGCAGGCAGGGCACAACACTACCATGGTGGGTTGTGGGGTAAAGGGTTTGCCCTGCCTGGAACAGACACTGAGCCTAGCTGAGCTGTGACCACTGACCCTTCACCCTCACAGGGACAGCACCAGAGATCTACCACCCAGAAGGTCTCAACAACCAGCTCTGGCTTGTGCAACATGCTCAAAAAACTTCCTTGGACCCACAGAGTCTCCCTCTTGGGCTCAGTTGCTTCTGCACCTGCCAAAGCCAGTTGGGTGTTATGAGCCCATGCTCTCTCTGGTCTTGCCTATCAAAGCAGTGTGACTAATCCAGCAGTGTTTCTGAGGCAGTTTCTCCAGTACGCTTTTATTAATGCAAATGAAGCAGAGTGCTGGTTAAAGTGTGCCAGGTCAGAGCACCACATATATTAATGCCATCACAGAGTGTTAAATCCCTCGATTTCTTGGGCTGGAAATGGGGCAGTTATTTCTACCTGATGGGGCAGTTATCTTCTGTTAATTGAGCAGTTTTCTTTATCTCTTCCACAACCCATCCTCCCTCCGGGAGATATCGTTTGGTTAATGGGCCATTGAGTGTCACTGCATGACTGATAAAAATTCCATCAGCCCATTGGGAGAAGCTCCGCCCAGGGGGAGGAGCCAAGCATTCATAACTGGATGTAATCTGCTATATGGAAGACCCCAGTCAGCCTTTTCCATTGGATTCCCAGAGGAGCAGCTGTCTTCTCCACGGGATCTTCAGAGGAAGAGTACACCCTTGTACAGGCTCACTGCTTCAACAGAACCACAGCTGGCACTGCAGGAGGGCTGCAGCCACCATTTCAATTGGACTGCTACAATCACCCTGACCCACAGGGTGTCAGGTCGTATTCTGACTCTGTCAGTGTTGTTTTGTATTAGTGCATTGTTTCTTTTATTTTTATTTTCTTCCCTAATAAAGAACTGTTATTCCTGCTCCCATACCTTTGCCTGAGAGCCCCTTAATTTCAAAATTATAACAATTCAGAGGGAGGGGAGTTTACATTTTCCGTTTCAGGGGAGGCTCCTGCCTTCCTTAACAGACACTTGTATTTTCAAACACAGACAGTTGCTTTTGAGGAGAATCCCAGAATAGCAATTAAATCCTCATTAACAATCTTCAGTTATAAAGTAAACCAAATGCAAGGTCTCCATGGGAAATCTCAGGGTGACTGAAGATTTTCTGAAAGGACAAAATGAGGTTAAACACCATAGACAAGCTACTTCCCTGCTCTGGATGTCAGAGAGGGACCTGTCCAGCAGGGCTGCTGACAACCACCTCTAACCAGCTCCTGGCTCGACCCCGAGCACAGCCCAGGCAGGAGTACCATGTGCCCACGCACAGGGATGTCCCTCACTGAGCACAGGATGGATTTCCCCTAATTCTGTTCAGTCTTTGAATGTCTCCTACCCAGAGCACCCTTTTGTCCAATTTGATGGCCCTCTGAAGGGGATAAGTTGTGAATTCTTCTCACCTTTGCCCCTGCTTTTGCTGTTAATAAAGACTGAAAGCAGATGTTGAAATACAAACACTTAATGGGCACCATCAGCCAACAAATCCCTCTAGCATCACCTAATCGAGATGAGCATCAATCTCCTCACCACACTGCCTTTCCTGAGCCTGAGGAACCTGTACCACTAATATCCAGGAATTACTCCTGCAAACCAATGACATGAGACACAGAGGCCCCAGTTGCATACTAGTTGTATGGCCCATCACTCCCATGTGCCAATCTCCCATTGTGGGACAGGGAGCAGATCCTCCCTGCTTGCTCCCAGCCTCAGTCTGCCCACACTGCTCCAGCCTATAATGCACCCACCCCTTTGAATTTCTCCAGTGGCAAAAAAACCTCTGTTGTTCCAACAGTGAAACCATCAGGGCCATGGCAATATTTCAAGGAGAAGAAAGGCACCAATAAAGCGTTTCTCACTCTGGAAATCAACTGGGTGTCTCCTCTTGGAGGTACTAACACAGCAAATCTCCAGTTGCTCCCAGTCCTCCACCCCAGCACTCCTCTGAACTTTCCCCAAATCCTTCCCACATTAATCAATTTGAAGACAAAGCTGGCAAAGCCTTCCAGCCCCCACCAACCAATTCCACCCTTGGGTCCTGCTCCTGTGCTTGTCTCCAGGTGCCCGGGAGAGCAGCTCCCAGGAATCCCCCGGGACTGAGGCTGTTGAGTGACCTCCAGTGCTTAGCTGGCGTGAGGCATCACCTGCACAGCTGCCCAGCTCCTCCTGGAGCAGCATGGAGTGACCCTGCTTAGCACTGCTCGTTTTTCTCCAGGCTTGCAAGGTTTGGAGATTGATTCAGATAAGCATCCTCAAGCTTGCATGCTTATCTGCACTATCTCCCAGCTTTGATCTGCAGGATTTGGCTGCAGCTCTCAAAGTTATCTTGGGAAAGCTTGTTCTGGGGAGAGTCTTTCTCCTGATTAACAAGAAAATCTTTCTTAGTGGTTTTGAGCATTTCCAGCCCTGGCTGTAACCAGAGAGTGTAGCCATGTCTGCAGACAGAGAGAAGGAAAAGCCAAGTGAGCGTCTCCTTAAAACTTTACTTGGGCTCCATTGCCATTCCAGCTAAAATCTGGTACTTCATCTTGCTTCTTTTCCCCACTTTCTGTTTGTGGGACATTTGACATCACCCATATCCTGTGCAAGATTCCTGGAAGGAAAGCTGGCTGGACTGACCAGGGAAACAAGTTCCTGGATGAGCTGGGTGAACCATGCAGGACAAGGGAGAGGGATTTGTCTGGCTGAGGGCAAGTTTTAAAAGGCACAATTTTGAATTAAACAGCTGAAAGCAAGAGCCCCTCTAAAAGCTCTAATGAAGGAAACACAAGCCACACGTGAGTACATGTTAATACAGTCAGGTACTAATTTTCCAGTTTACTTTCTGCTTGGCTACAGCTTTAGGAAATATTCCATGGACTGCAAGGTATCAAATGTGCTGCTGTTGAACAACGCTGGCATGGATTCCCCTACACTCAGCCAACCATCACCCCACAGAGACTCTTCCTTGTGGCAACAACCAGAGAGGAAGAAAAAGATGGTATTAAGGAACAGGAGGAACTACAGAATCAACAATTAGGTTTATAGTGGGGAAACTGCCCTGAACATTTTCTGCTGGCCTTGCTTAAAGGATAAATATGCATTAAAAAACCACTACTCAGGGAGGGGAAAGAAGTGTGAACAGCAAAAATATGTACATATGTTTTAAATAATTTTTTTTAATTGTTGAGGCAGTAATACTTGGTTCATGGAACTGCAATATACAGAGAGGTGAAATAAATAGCTTATATATATATAATATATATAATATAGCTGGTTTTAAAATATTCCCTTATCATTGGTGTACTAGGTCATCTTGTAGTCACTTGAATGTAGTTAGCAGCATTCTCCAGAAGTGAGCGGGATGCAGGATCACGGAGCTGTGAGTCCCTATGTCGTCAGGAGGTTCCAGAGGATCGGTGCGCCGGGAGCTCCACGGGTCTGGTCCCTGCAGCTCCCCCGCCTGTCCTGGCCGGCGGGGAGCAGGCAATAAATAATTACTGCCAACCGGCACTTGGCGGGGCAGGGTCTCAGGAACTTTGGGAAAGAACTTCGGTTTTCTTTGGTTTTATTTATTTACTTTTAATAATCCTTTTTTTTTTTTTTTTTTCCCCTCTGGGGATATTCTTGAGATGTTGTCCTTTCCAAAAAAAGCAAAAGAAGCACCTGTGTGTCATCAACAATAAGAAGTCAATTTAAATAGAGCAGTTAATTTCATTTTTCAAGTCACAATAAATCCCGAACAGCTTTCCCCAGCATTTGCCATCTAGTCTTTTATTAATTTTTTTTATTTTTATTTTTTTTAAACACAATGTACAAAAATAGAGCTTCTTCCTTATTTTTAATGTAAAAATATTCCTCTGGTGCAGTTTTTTTTTTTTCTTTTTGTGGTTTCTTATTGTGACACTATTTTTGTCCGTTTTTAGCTGGGGTTGGTGGGTCGTATTCTCTTAGTCCTCTTGGTGACTGTTGTGTACTTGAAAGGTTTCTGTATCTCCATTTGCCCCTTTGGGTATCTCTTCATAAAGTGTACATCTTGCTGGTTTTCCCGGGTCTTGGGCCCTTTCCGTGGCCTCCCTTTTTTGGTGAATCCAACGTACCAGCCTGAATATTTTGCGGACATCAGTGCTGTGTAGTTATTTTCTAGGACTTTTTCAATGAAGACACACTCCTTACTGGTGCCATCAGGCTGAAAAAGGAAAAAAAAAAAAAGGAAAGAAAAAATAAATAATTCAAATGCAAGCTCAGTGACCAAAACCCAATTTGGCATAAATAAAATCATCACATCTGGACCTCTTTTTTGGTTCAAACATTGTTAATAAGAGCCATAACAAGCATCGGCTAAAATAGATTTTTTTTTTTTTTTTACAGCATGAAAGCGTGAGGTCATAATTTCTTTTTTTTAAATGCTCTTATCCAAGGGGAGAAAAATTTTTCAAAGACAACAGTTAAGTTTATCCAGTCCAGTGCCTTCAACTGCAAGCAAAGCAAGACATCCAGCTTTGCTTTTTTCCCTTAGGGAGAGAGGATGAATTGAATTCGTGCCAGGGAAACATCATACTTAGTCAGAAAAAAACCAAACCCCAGAAACTCACATAGCCCAAACAAGAGCGTTTCCCCTTCTACTCCTCACTCCTGATGTTTTCTGAAATACCTTATGGGCTTTCACCCACAACTACCCAAATCCCACTAAAATTATTACAAGCTTCAGTCTAAGCCTCCACAGCAATTTGGAAACTCTCCCCCATCTGATCCCAGGTCATCCCCTGGCAGATGGACCACACGTGGTGCTCCAGGGGTGCTGGAGCCACTGGGGTCCCTGGCACCACTCTGGTCCCTGGGACCCTGGAGAGCCCTGAAGTCAAACTGGAGCTCAGCCTGGAGATCCTACCAGACCCAGAACTGGGCTCTGAACATGGCAAAACAAGATCTCTGCATCCAGGACTCTCACACAGCACACGCAGCACTGGAGGGAGTGACAGCATCACACAACTGCATCTTCAAGTCCTTGAGCACAAAGGAAATTATTCTCACCTATAACATTTGCCAGAAAACATTTTGCCCTTTAACTGCTGAGTTACTGCTGCTGTACCTAGAATGTCACATGTCATGTACACCTGCACTTTGATTTATGCATCAGAAGATATTCAGGAGTAGATACAGGATAAGTAGATATAAAGCATTGCACAAGACTTAATTTAAAGCTCAGCAAAGTCAAAGTCCATTGTAGCCCAATTCAGCTTCCCACTGATACCAAGTGAGTTTTTTGGAGCTGCAGGCCTGCATATACTACTATTAAACCCTGCCCACCCAAACTAAACACTGTCAGATCCTCTCAGTCTTCACCCATCATATCTGGGGGGGAACAGGGAAGCTGCAGCAGCGTGAGCTGCTCAGCCACCAGCCCCAGCTCTGCTCAGGGGCTCCTCTGGCACGAGGCTGGGGCACGGAGACAAACCCTGCATGGTCACCATCTCTTCCCCAAGGACAGCTCAGCCTGCCCTGCCGGGGGAGCCATTCTGAAACGTGCTGCACAAGCCCTGTGGAGTTTGCTGCAGTTTGTGGGACGGGCAGGCGATCACAGGAACAGGAGGGAACCCCTCTGGGCCGTGCTGCACAGGCTTCCCTGCACCCCTAAGCCCCAAACACCCACGACAGGGAACCATCAAGCACTGTGCCCCAGGCTGGAGGCAGCAAGAGGAAAGCCAGGATGGCTGGTCCCTGGCAGCCTCCAGGACTCCATGCCTTTAGCAGAGCTTTGGTTCCACCCGTGTGACTGAAGGTGATGTGTGCCCTGAAGCCAGCACTGCACCCTGCTGCCTCAAGGCTTTCAGCACCAGGGAAGATCTGATTAAGAGGGTGAATTTTGGCAACTTTTCCAACAGTTCTGCTAATCTGGGGTCTGCACAGGGGCTCTGCCCTAGGATCAGCAGTCTCCATCCAGAATAGGCACAAAGGTCCTCATTTTACCATCCACAACTGGAAGCTCACAAATGCTTTAATGAACAGCAGAACTGGGCAAGGCTCAGTGGTTCCAGTTCCTGGGGGTGTCATTTTCCAAGTCCTGGGTTTGATCAAAGCCACATGAGTGGCAAAGGGGGAAATCAGTCAACACCACAGGGTTCCACCAGATTTCAATGGGAAGCCATAAAACCAGCTCCAGGTTTCTCAGGGCCCAGCCCACTACAAACCCTTCCCCAGTGAGTGGAGAATTTTTAAACAATACCATGGCTGGGATTCAAATCCACCCAAGCCCAGGTGCCTGTGAACTGACCGGATCCATACTGCAGGTAATTGGAAGGGTTGTTCCCTTCATGCTTGTGGGAAGGGACGAGATTTGAGCCCTGACCTTGTTGCTAGGAGAATTAAGGGGTTTTCATGCAATTTGGGAGGGTTCTGCTTGTACTACAATGTCCGTTTTTCACGGAAAATGAGGACTGGAGTGAAAAGAAAATGTGTGTAGGAGGGGGGAATTTATTCTATTAATAACAAAAAAGTATTTACTTATACCTTCAAATTTGCCGACAGAGCCTAAGACGGAGACAGGAGGTGGAGGAATAACAAGGTGCAACTTCAGGCCAACCTCAGGGCTAATTTGAAGTAAACAAGGTGCATGAGATAAAATAACTTCGTTCTGGAAGAGGAAGAGCTAAATGGTTTGATAACATGAAATTACAGCAGCATTTACAAGTACCTAGAGATAAATCAGGATAAGGACCTCACTTCCCCAAACAGAGCATTCCTGTATATGCTAAGACACGTCACAGACACACAAATTATTTTCAAATACTGACAAGATAATTTTACAGTTTCTTTTATGGTCCCCAACAGGATAAATCATTCACACAAGTTACCTACACCATGAAGAGCTGTACCCACAGCAATATATTAGGGGAAAAAATCAATTTGTGGGGGTTTTCAGTAATTTTTAAGCATCAGGTGCCCAACATTTAAAATATAATCAGTTCCCTATTTAAGCCATAGCAAATCATTCCTTGGGTCTGTCAGCCATCCCCTCGCTCCTCCAAAGAGAGGCGGGGGAAAGAGAAAAGGGACACAGCTTTGGCCAAGCATCACTCGCTGCTCCAGCCACGGGGTCACCCTTCCCCAGGAGTTCCTGGTGCAACCGACCCAGGGCTGCCCCCTCCGTCACCAATGCCAGCTGGGAGCTGCTGCCAAGCACATCTCATGCACACTGTGCTGGCAGGGATGCACCCTGCAGAGCACTCGCCTCCAAAACACGGAGCTTCGTGTTTTCAACTGATTCTTGACAATAAAGAAATTCTTGAAAGCCTCAGAGTTCACAGGGGCTGTCTGGCCCAGTGTAATGGCCTGGCCACAGGACAGAGAAGTCCCACACGCAGCCCCACATCCCTGTCCCCTCCACAGCAGGACTAAGGGCTTCCTGTGCCCCTTGTGTGCCCCACTGGCTGCTCCTGCCTTTTGGCTTCACCATCCCACTGGCAGCAACTCGAGCCACGCTCCCTGCTCAGAGCAGGACACAGCAGAGGCACAGCCCTGCTCCTGCAAAGGCTCTCTGCAAGTCAGAGACCAAATTGTTGGCGTTGGCCCAGGGGCTGCTGCGTGGCCATGCAACAAGGCCGTGCCACCTGGCAGGTCAGTTCTTTGCAAAGAAATCATTCCGAGCATGTTTTTGTTTAAACACAGCCCAAGGACTTTGGGAAGACGCGTTATCTGTTAGCAAAATTTCTGATAAATGACTTTTAAAATGCCTGATCTAAATGCCACCTTCCAAGGAAAGCTCTGGGGCGTGGCCCAGGTCTGTGCAGAGCGAGGTGAAAGCCCAGCCTGGGCAGCACCAAGGGCTCCAGCAGAGCATCTCCTGGACAAGGGCTGGGGAGCAGCCTCGCTGGCAGTGGGTCAGTGCCCACACCAGGCAGAGACCTGAGTGCTGCCAGAGTTTTTACAGAGCAGGGTTAGGGCAGCAGCAGCCCAGGCTCACCCTGCAGTAAGGGGTTCAAGGAGAGTTTCTGCACCATGAGCCAGCTGCACCCGCGCAGCAGAGCGCAGCAGAGCCGAGGGGCTGAGCCGAGCACACGGGATCTCCGAGGAGCAGCCCCAGATTGTTTGTGCAGAGCATTTGGTGAGCGGCTCTCCAGTCTTAAACGTGAAACATGTTGAACTGACACTAACGCAGAATTAAGTGCCAAAGCATTTGCTGCTTCTACAATTACACTCCGGAGTGCTTTGGTGCTCCTGCTCTCCTTTTTATGACCCAACTTGGTCTTACTGTAGTTTGGCTTTCTCGTTTTAAGTTCTCCAAATGGAAAGGATCAAAGAGCTCTTTGTTGTCCTAGCAGGAGCTCTCCTCGGAGCGAGGCATTCCTGCCACGAACAGCTTGCAGCTCAGGAGGAATTCGCGGCCGCTCTGTGCCACCAGCCCGAGCCAAAGCATCAGCAGGTGCAGCAGCCACCTGAGCAGCCCTTTGTGGCACACAGAGGCCGGGGCAGGTTTTCTCATTTACGCCTCACGAATCTGGCGCAGTAGGCACCGGGAAATCCAAACTTCCCTCGGCTCTCACAGAACAATGAGCAGCTCGGGTAACACCGAGGAGCGGGGAGAGAAGCTCCAGGATCAGGGCACAAATTAAGCTTTTGTTAGCTAAGCTTAGGTTAAAACACTTCCCCTCCTCAAGCGCTGCTGCAATTAGGAGCCCTCTGGGTGAGCGACTGGTGATGTGCTGCAAATAACAAAAAACCCCAAACACCACCAAACATGTCTGTGCCAACCCAGGTATACCAGCCTGGCACAGGGCACAGCGAGTGTCAGCACCCCGAGTGAGAGAGGGCTGAGTCTCTGGTTTAATCATCACCTTTCTGCCAGCTCAGCCCCCAGGCTCAAAGTCAAACTGTGGTGACACCAGCCCTCCGTACAATGGAGAGCATCTCCCTCTGCGAGGGAAGCAAGCCCCCACCTCCCAAAAATCCTGGAGCAGGAAAAGCTACCACTCAAGCAAAAGGTTTCCAAGAGGTGCATGCACCCAGGTTTTTACTAGGAAAACTGCTGGAAATGGACCCTTCCTGCACCCATCCTTCTCTCCCCCTCCAGAGACAGAGGGGGCTCCCAAGCCCTGGCACCCCACCATGCTGGTTTTCATGCCACCCCCAGGTGTGAGGCACACCCACTGATCTCAGCAATTATTTCAAACACTGACCCTGTTAGATTCA